TTATTATTATTATTATTATTATTATTATTATTATTATTATTATTATTATTCATGGTTTCACTGCCTTCTCTAGTCTCTCTCGTTTTTTTCCAGCCTTGGAAGAAGTGAGGACTTAGTGACCAGGTTCAGATCACCACTCCCGCAGTTCTGAACCAAGAAATCTTCCTAGACCTCATTTCTGGTGGAGCACACCGAGCTCCGCAGCAGGAGCAACCCCTCACTGTGTGACCACTGTTCTGAGGAACAGGGTTCCTGGAGCATCTTAGCCCCTACCTGCAGACCCACGCTCCTGGTTGTATTTTAAGAAGTTAAGAAGCTCATTCACTTATTCTTTTTTTTAAAGATTTATTTTAGGTGTGTGTGTATGCCTTCATGTGTGCATGTGTGTGCAGGCACATGAGTGTGGTCGCCCACAGAGACATCAGTGCCCCTTGATCTGGAGTGACAGGCAGTGATGCTGAGAACAGAACTTAAGTCCTCTGCAAGAGCAGTATGAGTTCTTAACCACTGAGCTTTCTCTCCAACCCCAATTCTTTTTCTTTTCTTTTCTTTTCTTTTCTTTTCTTTTCTTTTCTTTTCTTTTCTCTTCTTATCTGTATCAACAAATAAAAGAGACTTTTCCTGCATTTGAACTAAGGTTTTGTTTGATCTATTGTTAAGAGAAGGAATCGGAGGTGGGACAGAGAGTGGCAAATACCAAACCCTCTTAGACAACTAGACAACGTACTGTGAAATTTTCTCCAAAAACAGCAGAGCTTGTAAAAACCCACCTTATGCTCACCAACAACCCCGCCGACTAGACATAACTTTATCAGTGATGTTCCTCTCGGGAAAGGTAATGTATTGGCAGACAGAGCATCTGACGTGTTCCCATAGCTACACTAAGGGCACCGAACAGCCAAGGAGCTATAGAAGAGAGGCTTCCTTAAAACAGTGGAGCATGAACCTGCCTTTAAAAGGGTCTTGATTACAGGGAGATCAAACCTTGCAAGAAGTATGAATAAGTCTTCCCTGGGGGAGGATCCATGATTTCTGGCTGTACATAGAACATATGTTGGACCATTGGAGGCTAGAGTGAAATCGGTGTGTATGTGGCTCTGGGCAAGCCAGCTAGCATCTTCTCTTGAGAGTATCTGTCAGATACACTGGGATAGGTGAATGGAAATTCTTTGTAGAGGGTGACATACTGTCTGGGAATGGCTGATTAGCAATGCAAAGCGGCGGTGCGTTATCACAGAAGCCTAGCACTTTTCACTTGGAGTAACCCAAGGATAACCTAGCCCTAGGCCTTTAACCAGTGGAACCAGCCCAGGATGGTTGTTAGTTGCACTTTAGCAACTAGAATCAGTTTCTAAATCACAGGGCCCACTGAGCCCTGCCACTAGCTGGATTTCCATTTCCCCATCTGTTCCTTCCGCCTGTCATAGTCAAGGGCACTCAGTCTGCCCCAGTCTCACTCTTGGAACATCCCCCAGAGCCACTGGCCAGAGGGCAACTAGGGGCAAAAATTTAGACTCCCAGTGTCATACTTGAGAATTACATTCAGTCTCGCAAATATTTAAGCAAGGATGTGAGGGCAGACTGCCAGGCAGTACAATACAGAACAAATGTCTCCTTGTACTCTGTCGTAAGTAGACTGTAGTTCTATATGGACGGAAAGCCATAAAGTGTCTACAACAAAAATATGACAATAATTTGCTACCACTGTGACTGTTTCTTTAATGGGTCTATTCTTGTGACATGCCTGAAAATCCTGAGAAAGAGCCACAAAGGGCCATGTGGGATTGTTCTAAATAGGCCTAGAAGACTTGTGGGCCCTGCCTGAACTCTCGTTAGATTATTCCATCACTCATACGTTTGAAAACAGAAGAAAGAAAGCATTCTTTACAAAGAACATGTGAAATCCCCAAAGAGATCCGGGAAAGAAATAATAATAATAAAAAAAATTCTGGCCCAAAGAGCTTAAGGAGAAAATAAATGACCTGATAGGAAAACGTGTAAATCAAGACATGAGTGTTGGGAAACAAAAGCTTTTTGTTTGGTCACTAGCAAATCGGGACAGTCTCTGGTCCACTTGGGGCAGTGTAGCTGTGAAGTCCCTGCCAGCTGAGGATTATGGAAGTCACGTGTGTTGGTTCTTCCCCCAATGGAGACAGAATACCTGATGCCCATTGAAGGAAGAACAACACATCGGAGAAAGAGCCAACCTTTGGAAGTACTTAGGCATTATGATTATAAAACAACTAGACAACTGTGTGCTTGGAGGCACAAATGTTCTTACTTACAGTTTAGTTAAGAGAAACTAGGGCACAAAGCAGTGTTGCTACCAGTCAACACTAGCCCTGTTGGAAATAGCCTAGAGTACATTTAGAGTCCTAAGTCTGATCACAAGTTGGTGGTGAACACAGCGTGCCACCTGGGTGCTCAGGCAGGAAGGAGAGCTTGGCATCTTGAGAGATCAGCACACCCCAAAGTTTACAAGTTTCTGGTTGTAGAAGGTGACTCTCCCACAGATGTGTGTTCATACGCTTTAGTAAACTAGAAAAGTTAAATTATTCTCATTTGTTGAACTGTTCAGATGCTTGAACATGCTCTATGATCAGAGACTCCATGAAGAGCCTAGCTGCGGGCTGGTGACGTATGACCCGAGAACCATGAGGCAGTTCTTATTCTTAGGGGCCAGTGTGCAAAACACAACACTTTGGCTCACACTTCAACGCGTGCCGATCACAAACTGGATTAGAAGCTCAGCATTGCCACAAAACAAATGTTTATATCTTTTTCTACTAAGATTCCCTCATCCAGTCCCTGCCTTTGCTGGATCCTTCTCTACCACACAGTCCGGTGCCCTTCTGAGCCTTTTGCCTTTCGGGATTTCTGAAAAGCGCATTTATAAATGGTGCTTACAGAAAGACCTGCAGAGGAGTGAAATGACTGCTTCCCAAAGCCAGATGGGAACACCAAGGAGACGGCAGTGCTGCACGGCACGGAAGTCCTGAAAAAATACATGTGCCAGTGTTCAGACCCTTCTTGAACATGGCCAGAGGGGATTTGTACCGGACTTGGGAAGTATCAGAACCAGTCTCTGCCCATCCACACAGCAGCCCTCGCTTTGCTGTGGTAAAGGCTGCCAGGCCCTGCGGCATCATTTACCCTTGGGCCACGAGTCCTTGTGAGCCCTGGGAAATGTTGGACTCCCCCGTGTCCTTCATCAGCTTCTCTTTGTCAGCGTTCTCAGCATGGAGATGAAGGGCCAACCGAAGGGTCTCTGTGAGACCAGGGCATCGTGGAATCAGGAGGAGACAGCCTAGAGCAAGGTCAAGTCATGTCTAATCCCAGAAATGTCTCCTCGAGAGTGTTCAGGCTGTGTGTCCTGTGGCCTTGGCAGTGCCAGTGGGCTGCCTGGATGAGAAATAAGATCCACAGGCCACACAACTACTGCACAGAAACCATATCATGTTTTTTAAACCAGGCAGACTAATGAGCAGCAAACCAGAAATGGCATTCTTTCCTTCAATGGTGTAGAAAACCACACAGAAGCCTCCCATGCCAATCAAGTTTCCATGGCTGTACCAATGCTATCTCAAGGTGATGTCAAGGCTCATGTTCTCACTAAAGTGGGTATTTTTCTTTTAAAAAATAAATTGATTTATTGCTTTTAATAAGCTAGGTAGCATCACCCTATTGTAAAAGAGAATCTAAAGTTTTGAGTCCAAAACCTCATGTGCCTTCCTTGACTGTCAGTGAAATGGGAATAGTAATTTCCATCTTGGGTACCACTAGGCTGGGATGCAAGGCCCTTTGCTTATTATCTTGGTCAAAATGTTTGTGTTTGCCAATAGATGGGCCAGTCCTCCCAACAGAAAGCACATGGGCTCTTGTATATCCAAAATGCACATCAATGTAATGCCTTCTGCTCTTCTATGGCTTTGAAGAAAAGGGAATCGCAAATAATATTTGAAATGTTTTGACCAGTCTCTGCCCTCTGACTCCATTACCTGAGATGATAGAGAAAGTTTGTGGAAGAACCCTGTCCACAGCAGCCTTCCACACTGGTTCCAGATGACTGATGCTTCTTATTCACGCCTTCCTGCCAGGTCGGTGGCCACACCATGCTGCCCATCCGCTGGATGCCCCCAGAGAGCATCATGTATAGGAAGTTCACCACCGAGAGTGACGTCTGGAGCCTGGGAGTTGTGTTGTGGGAGATCTTCACCTATGGCAAGCAACCCTGGTATCAGCTATCAAACAATGAGGTGAGCAATGGTTTGGGAGAGACTCCACCCCCCAACACACGCACGCATGCACGCATGCGCGCGCACACACACACCACCACCACCACCACCACCACCACCACCAGAGCTGAAATTTTAGGTGCAGCCATGGTCTGAGGGCTCTTGAGCTGGGAACCAGAACGTGGTCATATGTGGTTTTGCTTGAGTCAGCAGCTCTTCCCAGAGAGCCTGCTGTGTATCTGAATTCCACAGCCTCCTTTTAATAATTCTGGGGAAAGAGGCAAGGTGTTTGCCTTGCTCCCTCTAATGACAGGGCTGAGGAATGATTTTATAGCTCATCCAACAAATTAAGAGCAGCCTTAGCCATCAATCCATGCCCCTCCGTCTGGCAAGGGTCCCTGCACTGTTCCAGAAAAGTCACAACATACTCCCCTTTTTCAGATTTTTCTAGAACATTAACTCCTGGTGAAAGTCTCAAGCATTTGTTTGCCTATTCCAATTCCTTTGCCAAGCATTGTTTCATGTTGAAATCCGTGGGAACTGGTTTCAAGAACCCCCCAGAGACCAAAATTTAGAACACTCAAATTCCAAACACAGAATAATGTAGTGTTTGCAAGTGACCTGGGCATCTCTTTTGGGGTGGCTCATCTCCAACTTACCTACAGCAACAGAACACACACACACAGACAAACAGCACTCACGAAGTATGTTCAGGGAGCGAAGACAAGAATAAAGGTCTGCCTGCGCTCAGTACAGATGTCATCTCCCATATATTCTCAATCTGCTGATGTTTGGGCGCAAGCTGGAAACCCGAGGATGCAGAGAGCCGGCAGCATGTCTGTATCGAGGCACAGCTCTTCGACCGGGCGTCTCCTGTCTCTGTCACATCCTTGACTGTCTTTTAATTCAGCTCTGATACCCAGGACTCCCAGTAACATCTGCTGTGACAAGGTCCCTGTCAGTCAGACCTTACACAAAACCAATTTAGGGTCTATCCCCAGCTGGTGAAACCTGAAACATGGCAGTTTCTATGTGGAATTTGGAGAATCTTTTATCAGTTTTGTGAAATAACGGTGGCCCTCTTCCTTGTGAGAAAACAAGGAGAGGGCTTCCTTTGAGGCCAAGGCAAGAAGACCATGAGTTCAAGGCCAGCCTGGGCTACATAGCAAGACCATAACTAAACAACCCCCTCCCCCATCTCTCTCGATGGAAATCTGTGAGGGGAAGATTGGTGTGAGGATTCAGAGAAAAGCTGTGTGCCAGCACTACCACACAGGTACACTGGAAGAGCGAATTCTGAACTCTGCAGCACTGTCCTGTGACTGCAGAGTGTTTAAGTTTATCTTTTCATTGAAGAACTACAAAAGAAACATTTTAAAAGACCAAAACTTCAACTGGTAACTGGTTGGTAACCTGTCAGGAGGAGCTGATAGAGCCTCATAGTGGAGTAACATTCACTCCTTGTAACAAAGCTGGCATTTTATGAAAAGTTGGAAGACAGGGGGAAGAAGGTTCCCAGCACAGAGACCTGGTAAATGGTTAGAGAGATGCGTGCGTTAATTGTCCTGATTGAATCAGGGCACACTGTATGTGTAAAAGCACAAATGATCATGCCATCCTCTACGAGTAAGCACAGGGACTTGGCTGGACTTTTTACGAAGATGAAGGAGAGGCCCCTTCTTTGTTCCCCTGTACTGACATTCCCATGTGCCTGGCTCACCCTGTGTCTGGTCTCCCTCCAGGTGATAGAGTGCATCACCCAGGGCCGGGTCCTGCAGCGGCCGCGCACTTGCCCCCAGGAGGTGTACGAGCTGATGCTGGGGTGCTGGCAGCGGGAGCCACACATGAGAAAGAGCATCAAAGGCATCCACACCCTCCTTCAGAACTTGGCCAAGGCATCTCCTGTCTACCTGGACATCCTCGGCTAGGGCCTTTCTCCCCACACCGTCCCTCCCAACACATTCCTCAGACTGGCCGACAGGATGAACCTCTTAACTGCCGCTGATGTCGTGACCTCGCTGTCCTGAGCTCTGACAGTATTCACAGGACAAGGAGCGGCTTCAGGGGAGCAGCGTACACTTCTCCATCCACCGACAGTATTAACTCGCTTTTGGCATTGTCTTTCTCTCTTCTCATCTCCTTTGGTTTGTTTCTTTCTTCAGCCCTTTCTCCTTTTATTTTCGGTCTTCCCCTGCTTCACGGTCCTCAGCCTCTCTCCTTGATCAGTCTGGCTTCTGTGTTCCTGTTACCTGTACATAGACAAAGGCCTTAACAAACGTAATTTGTTATATCAGCAGACACTCCAGTTTGCCCACCACAACTAACAATGCCTTGTTGTATTCCTGCCTTTGATGTGGATGAAAAAAAGGGAAATCAAACATCAGACTTAAACCGTCACTTCTGATGTACAGACACGGGGCTTCTGTGGATTCACTTCTATCTATTTCTTTGTTTGTTTATTTACTTATTTATTTATTTATTTATTTATTTATTTATACTCTTCTGATTCTTTTCTGATGGCTTTAGCCTGTGTATGAGAAGGTAAAGTTGTGTACAATTTGGGAAAACTTTATCTGCAGGAAATGAAAACCAGAGAGAGAAGCTTTGCCATAAACCATGGCATGAGAGAACCGGAGACAAGCAATGGGATGAGCTGGGGTCAGTCCTGCTTAGGAAAATTCAGAAACCTCTGGCTTGGAGGAACGCATCCGGCACAGTCCCTGAGGACCTTTCTGAGGAGGAAAGACGATGTTGAACTCTGCATCACAGACAGAGTTTCCAGTCACAGACAGTGGCGCACAATGGAAAAGAAAGATGGCTTCCATGGGACCCAGACAAACACATCATACATTCAGACACTGTGGCCGGGCATAGAGTTGATGTGTTTCTCAAGTGTTATCTACCAAACTTTTGTCAAGTTCAATTGAAAAGAGGTAGATTTCGTGCTCAGATATTATTTCAGGGTCAGCTGGGAAAATCTGAGTCCTTGATAATGACAGAAGACATTCTCAGTTTGGAGGCAAGTTTCTCCTACCTTGAACTTTTTCGACAGCAATTCCCTCCAGCCCCAACCCTCCACTCTCACCTGTCTTTCAACTGTGCAAACAAAATTGTGCATGGTCTTTGTCAATCAATACCTATGTGCAGAAACTACTGTTCCAGCTGTGGTAGGTCCTGTAGATGCATAAAAAGTCTAACTTATGCAACTTAGGGAATGTAACCAGATCAATAGCTGAAAGCACTCTACAGTTGGTGATGGGTTTACTGAATAGGCGCACTGAAGCCTGGATATCTTCTTCATCCACCTCAAACCTACTGGACCGTGGGGCAGACACAATTCATCCCTGAGGAAAGGGAACGCTCTCTTGGGAGACCACCTGAGTTTACCTTCAGTGTGCACAGGGCCAAGTGTCTCACTCTGGGCTGTTTGGGAGAGCAGTTTCATTCCAATGTACTCATGGTCAGTATGCTGTTTTGTTAACAACACTCCATTAAAAAGAAGAAATTAAAAACTGACATGGTGTAGCTACAGCGGAGGCTGTGTCCAGCCGGGGCCTGGAGATGTGTTCCTGGGCTCGGTCATTGGTTTTACTAAAAGAGGGGGTAAATTTATGTAGAAATTTACAGTTCGAGTCAGTTAGACTGAGGGAGAACAGCACTTCCATTTCTCTGTCCCCCTCTGTGAGGGGAAGTTTGACACACTTGCCATCTTTGTAACACGAGCCAGCTTGGAAGGGAATGACTTAATTCACCTCAGAGTATTTTATTTGGTATTTATTTCTGAAGGTGCAAGAGCCCTGGGTAGGTTTCATGTGTGCCCATTAGTTTCTAGAGCACTGCGCTTTCTTGTATAAACTATGAAAGCCGGTTCTCAAATAAGATAAAATAAGATTTAAAAAAAAAAAAAACACTCCGTGTAAATGAACAGAGAACAGAAGGTGATCCAGTAGGACCCACTCAAGTGAGGAGTTGCATGAGGCAGATGCTATGGTCCTTTCTGCTGCACTGGCCCATGAGAGACGGGAGTTACTTGTTCCTTTTGTCCATTAAAACAACCCCCTCCAGAATACCTATAATAAAATAACGAAAGCCATATCTCTGTGACATCTACAGTCAAGTATATATCGTTAAAGGACCCACGGTACTGTCTAAACACTGTGGAGCTGCGAGGCAGCAGTAAAGCAAGGGCAGATAAGTACATGCTTTTCTAGATTCTATCAGCCATGACCTAGGAACTGGCACAGGTCTGTCAACTCCGAGTCTGACCGGTTGCGCTGGGAGAAAAAGCTGCAAGTTGCTTAGCAGAGAGCAAAAGAGATGACGCTGTAAGAGGCCACGGCTACGGAGGCTGTGCGGGTTTATGTCAAAGGTCTGTAAGGGAGACGGGAGCATTCCATCCCAGCTTTGTATTTTCCTTATCAGGAAAAAAAGGGAGAGAGAGAGAGTGAGAGAGAGAAAGAAAGAGAAATTCCTTACACTTTTGACAAGTCCCTGAAGGTCTTAAAATGAAAGTGTCTATGCAAGTGCAAAATTTTATAGTTATTCATATTGATCATTATTATTATATTATTCCCTCTGTTGTCTCAAGAATATGTGCCCATTTCAGGGCATTAAAGAGCATTTGATTCTTTTAAAGTAGTTGGATGAGCCAAGGACATCTTAAAATAATTGTCTTTATTCACCTACTCTCCCCCTTTTTTGTGGTATTTTAATTTTTAGAAAAGAAACATTCTTGTTCTAAAATGTATCCCTCCCCAAACAGAATGAAAATGGTGGTAGCAAGCAACCCAAAATCTCTATCGTGAACCCAGTCTCACATCCATTCCATTTCTTAACTGCTTGATGGTTTCTGAGCACTTTTTGCATGTTGTTGGCAAATTATTCACACTTCTTTTGCGAGGGAGTGGAGACTCAGAAGCTCAGGGGGCAAAGCACGGGCTTCACCCACGTCGGCCCACTCAGACATGCAAGCAAACAAACAAGACACGCGGGAAAGAAGGCACGTTAGCATGTCTGTAGGGCCAGCTGGGCACTAGAACAGAAGGAAACATGCAGGGCAGCAGATGAAATGTTACATCAAGTGCTTCTGGCGTCTGCTGAGTCCTGCGCCGATGTTGCAATCGGCCTCATGTCGAGAACGCTTCCAACACTGCTACCAAGGGTAGCACTCATGCGCACATGCTCACATCAGCTCCGCGTGTGGTGTTTTCATGTACTTATATACATATATATACTATATGTTATAAACACTTGATTTATACATATACAAATGCACATATGTAGTGTGTTTGTGTGTTTATGTATAAACATATAGGCACATGGTAATAGAATAATTATAGGTAGGGTGCAATATGAATAATTTGCTTAAAAACTGCTAAATAACCAAAACTTTCCAGCGTCATGTGGCAGTTCGTATTTCCATCCTCCATGTGGGTAAGGGCTGCACCAGGCACTCTGTGCCATCTTTGGGTGAAAGATGTGCTGGAGGTCATATGTTCCCTGAAACTGACTGAAAGCCATCGTCTATACTGAGTCTGTTCTCCGGCTCTCTGCAAAGGAAAGCTGCAGACAAATGGTCTCCTTATGTACAAGTCCTGGGGAGGAGATTTTGAGTTTTTATTTGCACATTTGTGCTGTGCCCGCCTTTCCTGCTCTAATCCCTTTACACTGGGCTCAGAGACTGAGCATTTCTAGATGCAAACTGCACTGTTGTTGGGAGACAAGTGTCTTGAAGGCTGATGAGAAAACATCCAAGAATCCATAGCAAGATGGGCAGCTTGAAGTCGTCCTTCATCCACATGGCAAGCAAGAGCCATGGTGTGGACAGGGCAGTGGGGTCCCTGGTTAAGGGCAGACTTGTCTTAAGCCTCTCTGTTGGCAAATGGGACTACCAGCAACACCTGGCATTGTCATGTCTGATTGCTAAAATGGCAGCGCAGACACACGTACCCTCACTGCTCTGCTTCCCCGTTCCTTATCCCCTATTAGAGGGCTTCTAGTTCCAAACTTGACCTTAGGTTTGGCCCTGTATCACGGATAAAGGAAATCTCATGAGAGGAATGGCTAATGACCCAAATCCCCAGATGTCCAAGTTTGCAGTCAAAGCCAGTTCTTCACAATGTATAACTGGAATGTAGAGAGAGACTCAGGTTGTGTTAGCTTGCACATGAATTTCAAACGTTATTGTAAAGAACTGGGATGGGAGGGGTTTGTAGCTAAAACGGTAATAGTGCAGGAAGGCATATTTTCTAGTTGTCAGGGCTGGAATCAATCGCTGCTGCTAAAGTCCACATCTTGACTATTCTTAGCTGCTGCAGTCTGCTCTTCTTTCTCCTTGACTTTATTTATTTGTGTATTTATTTTGGTCAATTCATCACAAACATGAAGCAAAAAAATTTACATATATGTAAATGTGTTGCAAGTGAAACACTGTGAATCTCACAACCACCTCCAAGCAACTATGCTGCCATCTTGACGTGCGTCTCAGGAGATAAGATGGAAAAGATGGGAACGTCATTTTGCAGCCTATGCGTTCTGGGCCAGGTCCATGTTTATTTTTTTTTTCTTCGGTCTGTGAGTTAATAAAGTGATCCTGAGTGGAGGTTGACAGAATGGTCAACACGTTAGGTGAAGTATTATAAGCTCCTCATAACTACATGTTTGAACAGGAAGGAAAGACGTGGAAGACGGAGAAACAAAATGATGTAGAGGGCTCTATCTTATAGCTCAGATAGCTAACTGTTGCTTAAAATCTATACAACAGCTGGAAATATTTTCAATACAAGGTATTTGAATTAAATGTGAATTTTAAATATGTACTCCCTTAAGGAATGAACATATTCTGGTGAAATATTTCTCCCCAAGTTCCTTACAGATCTTCCTAGAGGTGTGGATGCCTGCATTTGCTTCAGCATCCGACAGATGTTTGTATATACCCGGGCCATACACACACTCATTTCAACGTCTCTCTGCAGATGTGTTTCCCCCCCTCAACAGTGACCTGGTATTTAGAACTCTATCTTTTCAGTTGGTTTATTTCCTTTTTAATGTGACGTCTCTGTGCCGATTCTTACCGGTTCTTACTTGTTTTTTGCAATCTGTTTTGAGGTCCAGTGCTTTTTACTGAGACTCGCTGCATCTTGGCTGATTTCAAAGTGACACCTGAATACAGTGTTTAAAAAAAAAAAGTTTGTTTGTAAATCATGTGACCAGCTTCTCTCAACCTGACATGGAATGTCTCTTGTACTACAGTGTATTTAATAAAAACGATGTCTTACAATAAATAACATCCTCCACAAGAGGGGCTAGAAGTGGCAATGATTACCTTTAAAGTTGTATAGGGCATTGGCGAGGTAGGGCACGCTTTTTAAAGGCGTGTGTCTTCAGAGAAGGACCCGGACTTGCCTTCGGTGTTCATTGATTGTCAGTGAGAGCA